TATATTCTGAATACTAGATCCTTATGAGATATATGATTTGCAAATATTTTCCCCTATCCTGTGGGTTGTCATTTCATTCTCTTGATAATATCATTTGACGCACAAAAGTTTTTAATTTTGATGATGTCTTATTAATTTTCTCTTTTGTTGCTTGTGTTTTTTATGTCGTGTCTAAGGAATCATTGCTTCATTCACAGTCACGCAGATTTACACTTATGTTTTCTTCTAAGAATTTTATAGTTTATGTCTTATATTTAAGTTACTGATCCTTTTTGAGTTAATTTTTATATATAGTGTGAGATTGGGATCCAAATTTATTCTTTTGCATGTAGATACGCAGTTGTCCTAGTATCATTTGTTGAAAAGACTATTCTTTCTCTATTGAATGATCTTGGCACACTTGTTGAAAATCGTTTGAACATAGATGTATTGGTTTATTTCTGGACTCTCAATTTTATTTCCACTGATCTGTAGGTCTGTCCTGATGCTAGTACCACATTGTCTTGATTGATGTAGCTTTGTCGTAAGTTTGAAATCAAGAAGTGCAAATCTTCTTTGTTCTTCTTTCACAAGATTGCTTAGACTATTTGCAGCCCTTTGCATTTCTGTATGAATTCTGTGGTTAACTTGTCCATGTCTTCAAAAAAGGTAGTTGGAATTTTGATAGGTTTGTGTTATATCTGTAAGTCAATTTGGGGACTATTGTCATCGGCTATAGACTGAAGGTTTGAATCCTCCGAAAATTCATATCTTGAAATCCTAATTCCCACGTGATGGCACTAGTAGGTGGGGCCTTTGGAAGGGGATTAGGTCATGAGGGTGGAGCCCTCATGAATGGGATTAGTGCTTTTGGAAAAGAGATCACAGAGAGTTTTCTCACTCCTCTGCCATGTGAGGACACAGCAAGATCTATCTGTGTTCATACTGTGGTAGTGATCTATGAATCAGGAAGTAGGCCCTCACCAGACACAAATCGGCTGGCACCTTGATTTTGAACTTCCCAACCTCAAAAATTGTGAGAAATATTTGTTGTCTGTAAGCTACACGTCTATGATAATCTGTTAGAGCAGCCTGAATGGACTAAGACATCATCTTAATAATATTAACCTTTCCAATCCATGAACACAGGCTATCTTTCCATTTATTTAGGTCTTTTAAAGTTTCTTTCAATGCTGCTTTGTAATTTTCAGTATCCAAGTCTTGCACTTGGGAACATTTATTTTTAAGTATTTTATTCTTTTTTTGATGTTAATGTAAATGAAATTGTCATTTCATTTTCAGATTGTACTTTTCTAGTGTATAGATATAGAAATGATTTCTGCATGTTAATTTTGTATCCTGCTACTTTGCTGAACTTATTTATTAGCACTATTAAGTTATTTTCAGATTCTTTAATGTTTTTCTACATATGATTATGTCATCTGCAAATAGAGACAATTTTATTATTTCCTTTCAAATGAGTATGCTGTTTATTACGTCTCCTTACCTAATGTTGATTAGAAGTGGCAAGACCAGAAACCTTTATCTTGTGATTTTGGGCAAAAACAATTATCAGTCTTTCACTGTTACTGGATTTTTCATAGATGCACTTTGTCAGGTTAAGATGAACTCCCTTCTAGTTCTAGTTTGTTGAGTGTGTTTTTAATCATAAAAACATTTGTGTTTGCTTGTTTTTTTTTTTATATTTTCTGTGTCTCTTCATATGATCATTTTTTATTCTGTTAATGTGATATGTGACATTCACTTTTTATGTGTCAAATTTGTATTTCTGGGTCAAATCCTAATTGGTAAGTGATATAATTCTTATATGCTGCTGGATTCAGTTTGCAACTTTATTCGTGAGGTATATTGATGGGTAGTTTAATTTTCGTGTGATATCTTTGTCTACTTTCTGGGAGAGTTTGTGTCAGATTTTTGTTAATTCTTAAATGTTGGATAGGATTTTGCAGTAAACCATCTAGGCCTGGAAATTTCTGTTTTAGAGGTATTTTAATTTATGAATTCAATTTCCTTATTAGTTATGGGGCTATTCAAATTATGTATTTTATATTGGATAAAATGTGATAATTTTTGCTTTTGGAGGAATTGGTTCATTTTGTCCCAGATGTTATATTTATGTAAGTAGAGTTGTTTATTGGTATTCCCTTATTATCCTTTTGATATCTGTAAAGTTGCAGTGATATCCTGTGTTTCATTCCAGATGTTGAAAATTTGTATCATCCCCTTTTCTGTCTTAATCAGTTCTGTTAGAAACTTGTCAGTTTTATTTATCTTTTTGAAGAATGGACTCTCTTTCATTGAATTTCTCTGTTGTTTTTCCTCTTTCAATTTTATGTATTTATTTATTTATTTGTAACCATAATTGAAAGTGGGGGGTATTGATGTCTCCAACTATTACTGTTGAATTGTCTGTTTTTACCTTCAATTCTTTAAATATTTGATTCATGTATGTTGGGGAGATCTGTTGTTGGGAGCATATGTTTATAGATGTTACATCTTGATGTTTTGACCTTTTTTCAAGTCCTCCTTTGTCTCTAATGGCAATATTTGTCTTCATGTCTATTTTGTCTGATATTGATA